ACATGCATGCCTCCCGGGGGGGGAGGGGGGAAGAAATTGCCCCCCCCCTCCCCAGCCTCTGCTCACTTCATTAAGCGTCCCCACCCCCCTGGCGAATTCCCCGAGGAACTGTGTCATGGCCGCTCTTCTTGCCTCTCTCCCATGCCAGGGTACACACTGGGTCCCCTAGTCTTGGTCAGCCCGTTAAGTACAGGCACTTGGCTGGCCGGCCAGATGCTGAAGCGCTCCCGGAATCCGGCTGCAGGCCCCCCATCCTCCTGCAAAGCCCGCTCCCTCTCGGCCCTGTTCTCCTTTGTCCTTTGGCTTAGTCTAGCCAACATCTAAAGCTAGGCCTCCTCCCAGATGTCCCCAGCCCAGGAGCCTCAGGGTCACTCCTGCCTCTGGTTCCCAGCCCCCCACCTGGGATGTGTTCTTCCTGGTTTTTTGTTTTTTGTTTGTTTGGGTTTTAAAAAAAATTTTTTTGACAGCCTTTTGCTATAGGGCACTCGCCAGAAAGAGAGAGACAGAGACAGAAAGCGAGAAATCACCCCCCAGGGGGGATGTCCACGCCACAGTCCCTTCTCCTCCATTCTCCTCTCTGGATCTTGGGCACGCACGCACACGTGCCCACCGGGTCTGGGACTCGGTCTGGGACTTGAAACACAGTCGACTACATGGGAGTTCAGTGACAGAGCCATTACGCTAACTGCTGGTCCCGCTCCTCCCACTTTTTTAACCAAGGAAGTATGGCACTTTATGTCAATTCCTCTTAGGCACTAGGGACTCAGTTTACAGGACGCTCCGGCAGGGCTGTGCTTGCTGAAGGGACACTGTCTGGCTAGGCTGGGCAGCAATGCCCCGAGCACAGGGTGTTTGCTCACTGCCTCTGCATCCTACAGGGAGAGGCTCAGGACACCGATGCCGTGAATCAACAAAGCCCGTTCTTGAAGACCCGCCAGCACCGTGTTGGTTCGGTGTCTCACTGGGAAGGCGGCCAGGCAGAAAGCACAGCAGAGGTGCGTGACCACAGAGGGTGCGGCTCAGGGAGGGCTGGTGAGCCTTCTGGGCTCGGGTCGGGACACCAGCGATGTTGGGAGTGAGTCTCAGGCAAGGTGAGAGCTCCCAGGGACGCCCAGGTGTGAGCCCAGCCTGGCCCAGGGTGTTTTTGTATCCCCGAGGGGCAGGCAGGGTTTCACCTGGACGATGTCGCGCTCGGCCAGCTTCCCCCGGGAGGAGATCCGCACGTCGTCACCGTCCAGCTCCACCATGGCTGTGTGGGGACGGGGGGTGTTAACGGTGCACAGGGTGGTGGCCCGCAGGGGGGTGGCCTTGGCCTCCAGTCCCAGGCCAACCCGAGGCGGAGGCCTTCAGCCCATGCCCGCGTGTTAGAGATGAGCAAACAGGCCAGAGGCCAGGAGGAGCCCGACCAGGTGAGCTTCTGACTCGTCGCCCAGTGCCCCGCGCCCCACCCTCCCCAGGCTCCCAGGGCTGGAGGAGAAAGACGCAACGCAGGGCCTCCTTCCCACAGCCTCGGGATGTGGGTGTGGGGTGCACACCAGACACACCCCTCCCTGGGCAAACAAACGCACCCTCACGCCCGGTGCGCTCACCCAGTCTCCCGCCCAGGTGTGGGGAAACACCTCAGGGGGGCGGGACAGCCAAGGGGGGAGGGGACAGAAGCGGGACTCACCGTCAAACTCTGCCTGGCCCACGCCGATGATGATGATGGACATGGGGAGCTTGGCAGCCTAGCAGTGGGGGAAGGGTGGACCCCGCAAGGGCCAGTTAAAAGAGAGACGGTGGGCAGAGCCAGGGAGGTCCGAAGAGAGGTGGGAGGGCAGGGGCGTGGGCGATGAGAGGCACAGAGAAGGGGGAGGGAGAGAGGGCACCCGGAGACAGAGACCAAGGGAAACCCGGAGAGGAGTAGGGGATGGCAGAGGGGACAGCGTCCCAGTCTGCTTCTATGTGGCCCCTCTTCCATGTGGGTCAGAGGCAGGGCTAGGAGGACTGCAGCGGCCCCTACAGGGAGGCCCCGGGTCGGAAGCCTCGTGCCTGACTGCCTCCACTCTGGGCCTCCCACCTCTCTACTGGCTGGGGGGGGGGGGGGGG